CACAGCAAAAATGTCACAAAAAGTATATTTAATTTAGAAGAATTTCCAGACTATTAGTCAGACTTTTTTTTCATCCTTTGGCTGGGTTTGAGACTTTTACTCAGGTGCGACTTTTATATTAAAAGATTTAATTTCACATTCGTTATTCTCACACTGACAGCTGCTAGAGGGCACTCTAGCTGGCTGGTGCGACTTATACTCCGGAGCGTCTTATAGTCCAAAAAACTTCAAATGTACTAACTCAGGGGGAGCGTCTTATAGTCCAGAAAATACAGTAATAACCTTTCTGTTTCATTTTACTTCAAATGTACTAACTCAGTGTGAAACCCAAGTCTGTTTAGCTGGAAACAACATTGACGTTTTCGCAGGAATTGAAGAAAAACAGATGAAGACGCATGTTTAATTTTTCTTTCTTTTACAAATTACTAGCATCAAATAAGTACTGGTTTTCCGACCAATGAAGTGAACTTCAATAGTCTTCAAAGGCACAGTGGTTGGGAATCACTGCTCTAGAGGATAAAAACCACTCTTTACCCCGAAAGAATTCAGCGACAAGATTTATTTCACAGAAAACACACTGGAGCCTGACTGTGTTTGTGTATTACACTGCACACAGTGCATCTCAGCAGGCAGGCCTCTCAGTGTAATGGGAAGCCAGGTGGGTGAGAATTGAAGGAACTCTTACACTGAAAAGGAAGACAAAGAATGGAGAGAGGTTCTTGGTGCGAGCGCAGAAGGAACAATTAAGGACACAGCTGGAATTTAAAGTGCAGGAGAAAGGACCACAAGTGCAGGTAAGGATAAGAATACAGTCTCAAACTGCTGGTCAGCTCAAAAAAAAAATTGCTGCGAGAAAGAAATTCAAACAGATTGAAAGAAAAAAAATGCCAGTGGGCCAACATTAAAAAAATAAATAAACAAAAATAACTAACTCAGTGGTCCTTATTATTTTGTGTACAAAGGATCGGTCGACCAGTTCCATGGACACGTAGCACCACGCCAATTATATTGCCAATTTAATTGTAGTATCGCAGTCTAAAAACTAAAAATTAAAAAAATTCTCAAATTAACTTCAAACAAAGAGAGAAAATGGAAATGACCAGAATCTATTTAAATGAAGTAAATCATTAATTCTTTCTCTGCGGTCCAGTACCTTATTAGCAGCATGACTAGAGAATGAAACAATTAAACCCAGAGTGATTGAAGAAAAGTTTCTTGTTTCCTTAAAGTTTTATGTTTAGATTTTTGTTTCTGCCTTAAAGTTTGCACTGTTTTTACAACAGAGGTCCTTCAATAAACAACCGTCTCCATTTAAGAAAATACAATGAATAATTTAAAATGGATGTGTTATTTGAGTTACACACCTTCCTACACCGTGTTGTCTGTTGACAAGTTCAGTCACGACATTCTGTGATAAAACAACAGCAGGTCAGCGTTGACAGATACTGAACGAGGACGGACGTGAACCGGTGAGCGGGCAGGTTTTACTGCAGTCGTGTTTACAGCCACTGCGTTCCACGTCTGTGCGACGTCACATCTACAGGTTGAAGAGCTGCATGAATGGAATACCGACAGAACCTACGACACCGTCTGGAGGAGCTGCCGGGGCTTTTAACAGCTGAGAGAAAACGAGCAAACACTTCGTCTGAGGGAGAGGAAAAGAACGAGGAAGATAAGGAAGAAAATAATGCTGAATATCAGGGTCATTAAAGAGTTCCCTGCTGCAGCTCTCAGTGTATGGAGATATAAGTGAATGTGTGGAACGACCTGGGCGTTTCTGTGAAATGGATAAAGACCTGGTGAATAGAAGCCACTTTGATGTCATTTAAGTTTGGAAGAAAACAGAATTTTATACCAAGGGTTTTTAAAAAAACGCCCTCTGGGCACGAGGCTTCATCTACTGTATCATCTGTATCATCTGTTCACAGCGGTGATAATGAAAGCCAGTTCATTTTCTAACGCAGTCCAACAAAAGACATGGCACCGTGTGCATTTTAGCCCAAAATCTCATCAAGGGATCACAACACCAGAGGAGGAAGAGGAGGAAGAGGAGGAGCGAGGAGCCACCAGCCTCGGTGCTGATAATGAAATGAGAACCGAGCAGCAGACGGCCAGAATGAATGCAGAGAAATATACACCAGAGGATGTCGCGGCGGGCAGAGGGCGAGATTTCTGTAGCAGGAAAACACAATCACACCGCAGACTGATTGTTGAGGGACAAACGTATCGACGGAGACAGGGCAGTAATTACAGCCTTAGCCGCCTGTGGACCAGCAATAAGTGGACGTGTCTGTGAAGGAGACAAACATGACTGGGCTTGTTGTGCAACATGGCTGGGAAACAAATTAGGACTCATTTAACGTAATCATACGGAGTCACCCTTGAATCTCAGAGGGAACGATTAAGAGCGGGAACATCGCAGCAGTACACAAGTACAGAGTACTGCATTTGTTTGCTGTACAAAATACTTTATACTATGGCATGACGTGTATCTGACAGGTTCAGTGACCAGTTGGTGAAAAGCAAGAAGACAATTTCTAATATTTCTAAGTAGGGATGTCCGATATTATCGGCCGACAGATATCATTGGTCAGATATTAATATATTATGTAATATGTGTAATTGTTATTATTATTTCTAAAAATAGTTTTGGGGATAAACGGCTGTATTTTAAAGTGAAAGTCACTAGATGGCAGCATTTCAGCTCATTTAATTATCTTCATTTAATTAATTCTGATTTTAAAATGAAACACCACTTTGAATGACACAAAAAAGCAAAGTCTGCTACAGTGCATTCACATGCTGCATATATTTACTGCCAAACAATGACACGACACAGAGTTGATGGGACACAGAGAGAATGTCTGTATGTTTTTGCATTATTCTGAACCTAATTATCAGTCAAAGGTAAATATACTTTCATTTCAGCTTTGGCCCCAACTGTATAGGATATGTGTGTGTGTGTGTGTGTGTGTGCAATTATGGACTTCGCAGTGAGAGATTTCCAAACTTAGTCAAAGACTATTTATATAATTACTAAAGTGAGCCCCCTAGAGAGCTGCAGCTGAATAACAACTAGGATTTCGTACTGTTTCAAGTCTTCCATTGCAGCCTAATGATCTCCCAGTGGACTGGTTTAATTCACTGTACAGTACTTTAGCAAACACTAGCTTTAGCCGTGACTCATGTGGCAACAATATACTTTAGCTAGCAATCGCCATAAATGTTGAGTACTTTACGTATTACACCAAAAATGCTTTTTTTTCTTTCAGATTTTAAATGATGACCACCGATTCCCAGAATATTTTGCCCAGTTTATGTCCCGAGTCTTACAGACATGTAAAACTGTAACAGATTGAATCATCAGGGAAGAAACAACAAAGGGCTCTTTCAGATTGGAAGAACTGACACAAATGGTTTATCGGCGTCTTCCTACACTCACGTCCAAATGTTTGTCTTTCTGTGCCTTCTGTTACTGCAAACACAAAGTCAACGCACGCCGACTGAATCCCATCCAAATGCTTGGACGCTTTGAGCCACGGCTGCTGTTGCCCGAGCTCAGAGAGACGGGTGACAATATGCAAACCCACAGAGAACTCTGCGCTGAGCAATGTAAACAGGCACTAATTTTACCTGAAGAATGGCTGTCTGCGCTGAGCAATGTAAACAGGCACTCATTTTACCTGCTGTTGGCCGTCAGGACATAAACTAAAACTCCAATGTTTGCTTGACTGTAATGCTTTTTTTTTTAGTTAGTTTCACTTACACATATTGCATCGATTTTAGCCCGAGGTCCGGGACTTCATCACAGTTCTGCTATAAATCATGGCGTCAGCACAGCGGCTGATTTCCATAAACACACACACACGCTGTCTGAAGGCTGCTGGGTTTTACACTCAGTTTCTTTTCAACTTTGAGCAAATGCATAAAAAATTGACATGGTTGTTATTATGTATTGTAGTTTAAATGAGTTGTGGTATAATTAAGTACAAACAGCTGTACAGACACACTGAAGAAATATCTGTTCATCTTTCAAAATAAACAATATAAAAGTCCGTCTGCACCTGAATCACCTACTGTAAATGTCAACGTTATCTCTGTCTAAAGACAGAGTTTCCAGACTGGTCAGATGTCCAGCTCCACCACGGGGACACTGGGGACGGGGACACTGGGGTCAATGCTTTAGCTTTTATCACTAAACTTTCTATAAAAGACTAATTCTTGGCTGTGTTCCCCTGCAAGAGCCCAATGCCCCCTAGTAGGACCCACCCCCCACTTTGGGAACCAATTCCCGAGATGTGCATCCAAAAACAAGGACAAACATGATGGATCAATACTTTTAACTGTCCTCCAAAAAGTTCACAACAATCTATTGATTTACCCCGAAAACCTTCTACTTCAACACCTTGTGTGTTATTAAAACCATGTCTTGTATAAATATTCTTCTCAAGGAGACTTGGTTCTTCTAAGAATTACTGTCCGCTTGAGTCAAACGTAGTCAGAAAAGAACTGTTTCTGGTTGATACTGGTTCAGTTGGTGAGACTTCAGGTCAAATCCCAAAGGTTTTCAACAGAATTCAAGATCGAGGTGAACACGTCAAGCTCTCTCTTTAATCAATCCAAGATTAAGAAAAAAAAGTTTTTTTTACCACTCGGGGCAGTGGTCAGTGTTTGAACCTCTCTAACTCTGAGATTATTTTTGACCAAAAGGCACTCGACTCATTTTCTTTAGAGAAAATGTTGTTTTATACAAATTGGGAAAGTAGAGCTTTTGAAATAAAAATAAAAATTAAAGAGTATTTTTTTCATGTTGGCAGTGAAAATGACAAAAATGATAAATGTGTTTCAATCAGCGTCACCTGCAATGTCTAACATGATAATAGTTCAAACTGTATCCAGCTAAATGCTAACGGGGGAGGGTGGGAGAACACGTAGGGTGGGAGGAGGGGGGGGAGTTCTGTGTGAATCTCGGGGGACACTCCCACTGAGTCTGAACTTACCAAATGTTTTGGAAGCTGAAGTGTCTGGAAGTCACCTCTCAGCCGAGTGTCCGTTGGCGTCCACGCTGACGACTGGGGCTGCAGGACGACACGTGGCCCGGACCATGACCACTGGGAGACAGACAGGGGGCAAGAGGGCAACCAAGGAGGGGGGGAGAAGGGGAGGAGAATGAGATTAGGAATATAAATCAAAATTAGGGAGTGGAAAACCTACAGAGTTGTGGCATTTTGAGCAGTCTGTAGCGAACTGTCTGTTAGCCCAAACCAGCACTTTTAATGTCTCACTCTTTTCATCTCCATCGTCTGCGGAAGAATTTTTTTCTTTTCCTTACGGTTTATTTGCGCAATTTGTTTCAATCAAGGATGCAGTCGAGCACCGTAGCGAACCCCCCCCTGCCCGCCGGCCCCCCCGCCCGGATAATATCTGTCAAAGGGAAGAACGGCATTTCTTCATGTCTAGGGAAGTGTTCATGCCTTATATAGACTTGGTCCTGTGGAGCTGCCTGCTGCACCACATAGTTGCATCAGGCCAGGGGCGAAGGAAGCAGGCTTTGTGAGAGCTCATTAAAACAGTCTCCAAATCTGAAGGCACAAATATGAGTGGGATAAAAAAATGTCATTATAAATAATAATAAGCATCGAAAATGTTCCCAGGTTGTTTAAAAAAAACAAAAGAGCTGCTTGTAAGGTCAAATCGTTGTAGGGAGGTCAAGGCTGGGACAGGATATTTACATTCAAACAGCCTAACTCCACTAGTATTTTAATGTAGCTCTCATGAATTACACCTCAGGGGTCATTCTCTGGGCAGGTTCTTCCCCAGTGGAAGTAATTTGACATTTCCTGGCGCTAAATATATTCTTTTTAACGACATCTCCAGTGTAGCCGTCAGCACGAGTCAAGCTGCAGTCAGTTGCCTGAACAAAGACTTCAGACTCATCGTCAAAAGACTTGAGACTTGGACACAATTTTTCCCAGATCAGACGGCATCCATCAGATCAGACAACTCATTTCAGTCATTTGAGACTTGACTTGGACTCGAGACAAAACACTGATTTGAATTCCAGACAAAAGAATTGAGGCTTGACCTGGAGACTAGACTTGATTTGAACTCGAGATAAAATACTTGGGACTTGACTTGGACTTGAGCACCAATACGATACTTGGACAAAATACCTTGTAAAACATCTATGATAATAAATAAAGATATTTTGATGATAAATCAACATCTTAGAGAATTTTCTTTTTTTTTTTTACATCTCATGGGAAACATTCCGTCAAACTGAGCACTTCCTTCTACTAACGACACTCGGTCGATCTTTGAGCCGGGTCTGGACAGGGCAGTCTTAAGTGAGCCATGAAGAGGACAGAACAAGACAATTACATTTTACATTTTTCAGGTCTCCTCTTCCAATCTGTCAATCTGTCTCCAAGACTGGATCTGACTCTTCATTTGTCCAAAATAACCCATGAATAGGAAGACGTTCTTTTCCCCCTCCACACTGTGAAACGGCAATTATCCAGACAAAGAATGTCAATGTTTAAGTGCTCATTATCCACCTGAAACAGAAACGTGTCACACAATACATTTGAAGGAGACGGCTCTTTCCACAGGGTTAAGTAATTGGTCTCAAGTTCTTAAAATGCCAGAAAACTGATGGAGAACAGACAGCGAAAAATTACCAAACAAAATGTTGTTGAGCAAAATGCAATTTAATGATAGGCAGAGCCCGACTCATTTATTATCAAGGTAACAAGTTCTGAGAGAATAGGAAAAAGGTGTTCATCTGCACTGGGTCCAAACTGGGAAAACAATCAACTGTTCTTAAAGGTTTCGATTCTAGTTTATTTAAAATACATTTTAAAAAACTAAACTTTTCTAAGAAATAAAAATTCTCACCCCTGTCATTTTAAAACAAAGATAAATTCTCACCTGAACTAACAAGGCTCATTTACTTACATTACATTTTTCTACTCCATTTACTTCACTGTTCTTTCTTCAGGATGAAAAAGGTGAAATCACGGCCAACATTAAATGGGCCGCTGCAGTAAAACTCCGACAGAGCAACAATTAATGACCGTCGTTTACCAGATATAATGACCCACGACGGCAACGCATCAAAGTCTACGATGCAGTTTATGAAGTGTGGACACAAATCTACACCCAGAAGAACATGCACCAAGAATGATTATGGATCAAACTGGGGGCGTATGAACGCTGACCACTTCTGCCACCTGTGGGCCTGGATGTTTTTAATTATAGACGTAAAACAAACCTACAGTACACTGTAATAAAAAGCAATGACCTGTTGACTGATGATGGACAAGATTTGAGAGTATATGTTAACAGGTGCTCAGTGGCTGCAGTGCCACCTTCAGGACGGTGAAACTCATAGCGGTGTTTACTGTCGTTATCACAGGCAATAACTGAAACCTGATATCACTGACGTGAACTTCAAATCCTGACTCTCAGGTTTCATCTTAAACGATTCTCCTTATCTCAGTGAACTACAGCCCAGTGTGACTGTACTGTAGCAGAAAAACATACGTGAACGTCACACTTCCTGACACTTCTCCTTCTCCTGTGGGTGAAGCCGGGCAAGGAAGGAAACTGAATCCAAACACTTTTGCGGACGTTTTTTTCCGCAAAAGTGTAAAAGTCTGCGAGCAGTAATTGAGAACCTAAACTCACCAAGCTAACTGCCAGTTAGCATGAGTTTTATACAACTCCTGGCACAAGTCACATAGGTGGTCGCCTAGGGCGCCCTCTGCTGGAGTTCTGTCATATTGCTATAAAATAAATTTTTTTTTTTTTGGTCTTGATCCTGCCTGGGGTGTCATAATAGCCAGAGTCGACTCTGACTCTGCGGGTGTTTACAGTTTTTATGTACAGTCTTTGGAACAGATGCAGATATGTTGTGGAGATTTTTTTTGTTTTTAAATATATAAATCAGTGAGTTAACTGCGCATGAATGCTTTTATTTAAATCTAATATCTGCCACAAATGATTCTGCATTTAATCATGTGTTTGAAGAGGAGAAGAGAGGCAGCGTGCCTCAGTGAGATTCTTAGAAATGACTTTTTTGATAAAGCGATAGTGTGGAGGAGTGTGTATGTCTTCTCTGGCTGTAACAGTGAGATGCAAGAATGTGAAGGAGGAAGGCGGTGTGTGTGTGTGTGTGTGTGTGTGTGTGTGTGTCTCCAAAAGACAGAAGCACATTGGGAGACAGTAGACAGAAAAGGGCAGAAAAAAAGTGTGTAAGTCTTACGGACGGACCACTGATGAGATGGAGCCAAGGTCAGCCTCTTATTTCTGACATACATGGAGCCAGAATCGGACTCTCAACTGGACGTTCTCCATCTGCTATCAGTGATAAGCCAAGCTGACGCCCCATCTGCAACAACGGCACCATGTGGCTCCATAGAACGTGGATAAATTACATTTATGAAAAAAAAAATTATTGGTGGTGATGAAAATAAAAAGAATATATTTTTCTCAACATGAAAATGTAATTTAAATATCATTGGTTTAAATTTCATGTGGTGTGACCCATGTACATGTCTCAGAGATTCACTGTGTATCTAAGCCTAAAAAGGAACGACTCGCAGTTAGGAAAGCAGTAAATGTACAGGAGGAAAAGTGCACTTCCAATTTCACCCCGAGACCTTTTGGAGCCACCGAGGTACACAGAGATATTCCGTTAATTGGTTTGTGCACGACAGCTCGGAAACTCAATTTCAGGTTATCAATGGTTTGAAACGGCTTAAAACGGCTCAAACCACAGGCTAACCTGAATATGTCAACCGCCGTGTTTTTCCTCAGTGCTCACAAAATCTCATACTGTAAAGTACAGAGTGGGTGTGGACAACTTTCACCTAAATAATACTTTATCCTGCACAAGGAAACAAAATAACATTTATGTGTTATTGGCCAGGACGGGTTACTGTTTGAATGATCTTTTTTTCTAACGTCTGGGTTTAGATGTTTTTACAGGAACTTTGCGGAATTTACACCAATTCTCAAAAACTGTAACCTCCCGAACTCAGAGTATATAGTACATATATGCAGATTTTTTTTGTAATATTTAGACAATTTGATTTATTTTAATCACTCATGACAAATCAGGATTAATTACAATGCCAATCAAGAGTGTGTTTCATAAATTGAATTGTTAACGAGCCCAAATATATATCTATAACTGATCTAATACACGGTACATAAACGTCATTTATACATACTATTGGAACAAAGTTTTAGTTTTTTTGTTACAAAAAACAATTTTTTTAAGGTTCAACAACTATGAAAAACTACGTCAACAAACTGTCTGCAGCTGTTTCACGCTGTTCGAGTGAGTACATTTGTCAACCATCTGCTGCAACTCTGTGGCAGGTTTAACACACACACACACACACACACACACACACACAGCAACCTTGACTTAATGCTTGTGTGCAAGCTTCAGAAACACAATGTTCTTAACAGAACACACACACACACA